ATCTTAGAAACATTGCCAAGTTACGGAACATGCTACCTGTTTCTCTGTTTCTGAAGCTAGTTCATGCATTCATGACCTCTAGACTGGACTATTGTTATGTACTGCTAGGTGGTCCAAAATGCAGAAATGCAGCTCCTTACCAGGTCACGAAAATATGATCATATTACTCCAATTTTACAGTCTCTGCACTGGCTACCTATTAAGTCCTGTATCAGATACAAAATATTATTACTTGCCTATAAGGCCCTAAATGGGTTAGCTCCTGCGTAACTAACTAGTCTTCTATCACGCTACAATCCATCACGCTCCCTAAGGTCACAAAACTCTGGACTCTTGGTAGTTCCTAGGATAGCAAAGTCCACTAAAGGAGGTAGAGCATTTTCACATTTGGCTCCCAAACTCTGGAATAGCCTTCCTGATAATGTTCAGGGTTCAGACACACTCTCTCGGTTTAAATCTAGATTAAAGATCTCTATAGCCAAAAATTCACATAATGTATCTCATAAACTGAAATCTAATCAAATGCACATCAACATCCTTTTGCTTAGTTGGAACAGCAGCTATGCTAATGTTTCTCTTGGGCATCCCATGGTAACTAGGAATTACACAAGCTTCAGTCTGGATCCAGCCTTTAAAAAGGCCTGAGATGTCCAAACACCTGAGAAGAGATGATGCCAACCCCTCAGACAACATACACAACTACCAAATTTTGCTATAAGTTTTATTGCAACATATAATCATTACTGTTAATAGTGCTCACCGCCTGTTTGATTACATGACATTAACTAACTGCTTGATTTTTTACCGTACATTTCAGCCATATGGGCATCAAATCGAGATAGTCAACACTGATAAGCTATTACAAAATATAATGTGGAAACTTAAATTTTCTGTAAAGCTGCTTTGCAACGATTTGCATCGTGAAAAGCGCAATACAAATAAACTTTGAATTGAATTGAATTAAACTAATACATTTTGATAGCTGTATCACATAAACCGCTCCATATGCATGGCTTTTCTGACATTGTAAACTTGCTCATCAGCTCACCTGGTGCAGCATTGCACTTGCAATTTTGAAGCGTCGGGTACAATACCGTGAAACAGAAAACATGATAAAAGAGCTCAAAGCTCTAAACTTCCTTTAGGTTTAATGTAGGTGGTATGTTATTTTCGATTGCAATTGAGCATTAACCTTTTATACCCGCTCACTGTCCATTTCATTTCCGAACTGCAGCGATACATGCAACAATCAAACAACTAGATTCCTGTTCCTCTGTTTCGAATAAAACAGAACATGAATAACATACAGTAATATTATTTTTCAAAAATGTCACCACAGGTGTGGTTTTCCGATGAGCCTGGTTTGAAAACCCAATACCTTGAAATGCTAACACTAATTCATATGTCAACTCCGATTTCCCAAACCAAATTTTATGGTCTTCACCAAAAAAAGTGTTATTATTAGTTATTATTATTATACAGTTATTATTTACTTACTCTCATGTCTCTCAAAACTT